AGACACTGGGGACTGACCCCAGGACCTGTGCGAGCTGAGCACGTGCTCTACCACTGAGCTATACCCCTCTAATCTGTTTTCTTATACGTAAAATGGGGCTGAGGGTCGCTATTGGTAGGGTTGTTGTAAAGGTTCAAAGTGGCAACGCATGTGAATAGCTTAGACTGTGTCCGATTATACAACAAGCACTCAATAAGTGTCTGTTAATATCGAGAACCAAGACACCACACCATGGGTATGCGATCGTGGACCCCATGTTTGCTCTGCCCAGAAGAGGAAAACCCCAAAGTCTGGATTATATTCAAGGGTGACCAGCATCCTTGGCTGTCTAGGACAGGTATGGGCTTTGGAAGACCTGTCCCAGACCAGAGACAGATCGGAGAAGGCACTTCCTAAGTGAACACTTGGCTTTAGGCAAACCCTGAAGTTTCTGGAAACCTCTCTAAATGATCTTGTCAAAGGGCAGGATTGACATCAGCAAATCTCAGAATGATCCCTGAAAGTTTAGACATAGAACCCAGGTCTCCAGCCGGCTGGCTGGGATTGCCTAGCTCCTGGGTTCTGTAGAGAAAGTCAGGGTATCTGGGTAGACCTCAAGACTTTGAGCGAATGGTTCTCATTTACATCCAAATACCCAAGCTACATAATAGACCGTCAGAGCAAGACCAGCTGAGTAAGACAGTGATTCTCAAATGAGGAGGAAGCCTCGCTCTAACTGTTCAGGGGCCAGCCAACCACGCAGGTAGGGGCTAGCTTGGAGGGCTTCCTGGAAGAAACAGGGGACTTCTGTCTTCCTTCAGCTTGGTCGGGTGGGAGTGAAAACACCGGGGGTGGAGTCGTGGCCCTTCTGTTACCCGGGTTTTTACCATCTTGTTCTTTGAATGGAAATTCCCTGCTGGCTCCGGGATTCCTGGCATTTCCAATGTCCACCCAGGTGAGCAGCTTCCCTAGGCCCAGGTCGGGGAGATGAGGGTTTGGATTCAAGAGGGAAAGCATGAGACAGGAGGGCCTGGGACCCGCAGACAGTAACTCCCACCTCTGCGCCCTTCACACTTGCTGTTCTGGAGAACTAAAAACTCCCTGCAAGAAAGAAATTCTGATAGCTCTTGTTTTGTTTTGTTTTGTTTTGTTTTTCCTTAGACACTCCCTTGGTGAGTGAAAGAACTCTTTCCTCCTGAAAGTAAATTTCATATTTGTCACACATGCCTGGAGGAAGGTTTGTTCAAAACACAAAGCCAGGAAAATTGGTTGGAAGGCCATTGCCATTTGGTTTTTGCAAAAAATCTGCCTAGTTGTAATATTATTACCTTGTATTTCAAAGCACTTTCACATACACATTGAATCTGAGCTTCACAGGACCCTGGGGAGCAGGGCAGATGGCATCATTTCACTTGAAAAAAGTTGCCTTCCCTGGGGACCGGGTCCAGCTGTGCCCTTCCCTCCCAACATTTACTGAAAATCGGGTCTGAAACTACTTAACTGATGGCATGTTAGGGTGATGTCCTTCCTTTATCCACACTCTGTAGCCAGTGCCCATGGATAGGGAGGGGGGGCGGCTGTACCAAGTCACTGGGGGAATCTGAAGAAGTTCAGCAAACCTGATCCCTGTCCTACATGGGGCTGGAGGGCAGAGCATATCTACAAGAAGTCATTGTCGCACGAAGACATCTCAGTCAGTTAAAGAACAGAGGAGCCGGGATCCCATGAGATAGACGGCGGGTGTAAGGTTCAAGTTTTGGTTTTTCTTTTAAAGACTATGCATTGTAGTGAGAAGCAGAGAAAGACAAAATAGTCCTTTATGAAAACTGTGATTTCACAGTTCCTGGCCACAGTCAATCAAAACCCCAGACATCTAGAAAGGAGCACACCCCTTGCCTCCCACTGACCCCCATGGGGCATCATTTTTATCTGGGGAACAAGGAGGTGATATAAAAGGCATAGGGGTGAAGAGAAGGAACAATTACTCTTAAGTGCTGTGGCTGCGAAGGAAAACAAAGGCTGTTTCCTTTGGGGATATGAATGAATTTTTGCTGAGTCAAAACCAGTGTTCCACATCTTCAGGATCAAGCGATTCCTGGCTAAGAAACAAAAGCAGAATCATCCATTCCCCGGTGGATCTGGATTAAAAACTGGTAAGAAAATCAGGTCCAGCTCCAGTCGGAGCCCCTGGAGAAGTCAGAGCCGATGTTACAGGGCATTCCACTGGAGATGACGCACACAGGGATTCAGCCTCCCGGTCACCAGCATCTCAGCGTATCGGGCTGGAAACATCACTATCTGGACAGCTGGACATGTCTTACTGGGAAAACGACTTTTCTCTTTGTTTCTATGTTTCTGTGCCAGTAGGTTGGTTCGGTGACAAATATGTGTGGCCCTTTGGCTGAAAAAAATCTGTAAGCATAACTAACACACGCATTTAATATTCCAAGAAGGGCTAGGGCTCCAGAGCTGAAAAGTCAGAAGCACTGGTTTCTTTGCTTCCAGCTCTACCGCCTGAGCCAGCTCCATGGTCACCAGCCCCCGTGGTGATCAAAGAGAAGAACTGGCGTATTTCGTATATCCCCAGTGGCGCGTCCCTGAAACCTAGACACGGCATATCAACACAGCCAGTCCGTCTGGCTGTCCCACCACAGGTGAGGCTTCTACGGTGGACGTGCTCGGTGGACACCGCCCAGGCCCCGCCTCCTACCGTAATTCACCTAGTATGCTCCCTCTCGTCTCTAGCTTTCTGCTTAACACACCAGAAAGAGTGCAGGCACTGGAGTCAGAAAAGCCACCTAGCAGCTGCGGATCTTGGGGAAATTTACTGTGTCACAGACTCTGTTTTCTTTAGCTGTCCTGTGATCATCATATCTTCTTCATAAGATTGCCGATTATTTAATGAAATAATATATGGTTGGAGGCAGCAGGAATTGTAACTCCTCTGCCCTATCAACATTCTTTGGTTCTGGGTTTAGCTGGGAAGCTCAAAGGTAACATGATCCCACACAGGGAATTACTTCTCCTGCTCTGTCCCCTACAGTGTGCACTGAATGTCCTCTTTTTTGGTGGCTTTCATTCAGGCAGATTTAGACAAGCGTCAATGAGTGAGTGAATAATTTCCGGGGTCTGTATGGAGAAGGTATCCATAACACTGATTCAAGGCCCCAGATTCTCCTGCCTATCTGTACAGTCTGGCATAGTTCCCCCGCCTATCAGAGCTGGAACAGTGGCCAACAAACTGCTGGATGACCGGTACACAGAGGAGGCAGGACCTTCTCCAAAGATGGACACTTAGACCACCCGCCAGAGCCTGTGCGGAAAACAGACTCACTGCAAAATGAGGGGTCAGACCCATCCCAGGAGCCACCGCGGCCACGGCTACAGCACCCGCTCAACAGGCCCCCTGTCTCCCCAAATCCCAGTTAGGCTATAAGGCCCCGTCACCCCACCCACAGTGTGAATGGTCTCTTTCCCTTGCTAATTTGGAGGTATGGTCTTATTAAGGGAATTGGAGGGTTTTCTGATCTCATATAATCCCCATGCTTAGATCTTTTCCACAATCCCTTACCATCCCAGGGATAAGCAGGGAAATGCACTTCAGTGCCTGGCAAACGAGGCCCACCTGTCCAGCCATACCTCCGCCTGCTCTCTCAGGACCCTGGGCCCCCAGTTTCCCAAATCCAGAAGCAGTCTCTCCTCAGTGAATTTGCTCAGGCTCAGCACTAAGCCGGGGGTGCCTCTTACCTTGGCGCCCACACAGCCCCTTCCCTTGTGCTAGATGAGCCTCCTCCAGGAAGCCCTCCTGCCTTCTGCCCCTCCCTCATGTGGCTCCTCAAATTCCCATGCACAGCGCTGTCTCTGCCCTCTCCACGCTCTTTCCAGCACTGTCTGTTCATATGTCTGACTTTCTAACCAGATCAGAGGCCCATTCGATAGCACAGACCATGACTATGTAACTCCTGACACCCCGCTGAAGGAATAGATTTTAAAATGCATTGACTCATCTACAAACTGTAAGGTAACCAGAAAACTAAATTAACTGCGACATTCCAGGCTTGAAGCATTCTGATTCTTTAAGGTTTGACCATGTTTAGCACCACTTTTTCTGTTACAGTTTTGATTAATTAATTAGCTAATAGAGTTTTGATGGGGCTATTACTCCTCTGTTTTCTGTTTGTAATCCTAGTTCTGCTGACTCAGGCTGGAAGAGCCAAGCCATTCGGGATAAGTTGAACATGTTCGTGGGTGAATTAAACCTCCTTATTCTCAACTTTGCATTGCTTTTTACTCACTTGGCTTTTTTCTTTTTTTTTCTTTTTTCGATGTTGTAGACTTTAGGAATGAGGAGGGGAAAGGAATTTTTAAAAATTGGATCCACTCACTTAGTCCAAAGGCATGTGGATTTGTGAGACCAAATCTGTGTGATTTCAAGTCAGGATTATCCATGTGGAGACATTTTTATTTACGAGTGTGTTCTCATGGAAAAGAATTTCTCCAACCAACTGCCCCGCTGCTTCTCAAACACATTTGTGATCCAGGACTGTTGTCAATAAAAGTTCTCCGCAGAAAACACGGATGTGTTTCATTCCTGGTTGACAGTGGCTATTCTGAATTTAGTAAGAGTTGTTTTTTGTCTTTTTTTTAAAGAAGCTGAAGCTTACATGAATAAAGAATAATGAATTGATGAATATATTAAAGGCTACTGAATAAAGAATATAATTTTCTGTAGAAATCATCCCATGGACTAAAACCAGAGCTTCCACAGGGCTCAGCCGTGGGGGAAAATATGATTTTGTTTGTAAGAGTTTTCAAAAACTCAGCTGATTTTGGTTTTTTCCCCAGTCCATACTCCAAGAGTCTTACTTGTAAGAGGTAGTTCTGTTCCCAACCATATCTCCACTTACATCAGCCATGAGACAGTAACAGCATCGACATCACAGAGACAAATCTAGTGTCGGAGCCTTTGAAAGCTGAATGAGATGAAATGAGTTAACACTGCCCCTGGCAACACGGAAGGACTAAACGACGCGTTTGAAGCCCATTGCAATGATCTTCTACAGAAACAGTTATTGTTAGAGAAAGCGAGCAGGGATCCTGCTCCACGAATGCGTCCCTCTCTGCAATCTCTGCGTCTCCACAGACGTGTCTGGAATGACGGGAACAGCACTGACCCGGGGACCAGGAGAGATGCCTCCTTCCTGGCGTGGCTGTGCCTTCCCTCTGCCCCATCTTCGCCCCTCTGTGCCTCCGTGCCCCCCAGCCCCTGGCCACACCCAGGGAAACACACCTCCAAAAAGATGCTGGGGAATGTCCCTCTGGCCCCAACGCCTTCCTCCTGATGCCCAGGGCTGTGCAACACTGAGCCTTCTAGAAGGTTTAACGCAAGGCATGTTGCAGTTTTCATTACTGCCACTTCCTCTGTGGTCACTAATTTCAGGTTGGCCAGGCCTTAAAAAGAGACTATGCACTGTGTGTGTGTAGGGGAGGTGCGGAGGGACCTTTTAAAGGTCACTTCAAAGGGAAGATGAGAATAAAACAGGGAGGAGCTCAGATGCACCCAACTCCCCGAGCTTAGAAATACAACAGGCCCGTGGCAGATGCGCTGCCAAAATTCCAGAGCACTCCCTGGCCTGCTACCCACCGGTCCACAGGCTGTGGAGGCAACACGGGCCACACAGAGCCGAGCACGCCTGGAGATGGCACCGATCGGCGGTCCCAGCAGTGAGGGGGCGCGGCACCCGTAACTCAGCCTGAAACCAGGCAAACCCTGTATGGAGTTCTGTTACCCGCCCCACATTCGCTGCCAAGGCTCACAGGCCTCTGGGGACTCCAGGCCAAGTCCCCCAGACCATGGCTGCTGCTGTCACCAGGCAAAGTTAAAGTGGAACCAATCTGCGTACGGCATGCTCTTTGGGTTTTATCCGTTCGTTTCAGATCAAGCCTGAAAATGCCACACGTCCGTTGTCCACAGTTCAGGAGGCAAAGATAGATATGCAAGGACAATCAACTAGGATTTTGTCCTGGGGCCGCTGAAACCCGAGCCCCTTTCTTTACCCTGCATCCCAGTTAGAAGCACTCAGTTCCATCTGGGCGTTTGGTCTCAGTCAGATAACACCAGACGGATCTCTGTAACATGCAAGCCCCTGTCAGACAGCAGCGAGCACCTCCCCGAGACAGCTGTTTCACACAAGGCCCCATTGTCTGAGCAAAGCCTGGGTCGTCTTACTGTGGGCGCTGAGGGAACATTCTGTCAGCTGCCACGGCTGGGGAAGGGGGTGGGGGAGCCTTGCTCACTGCAGATTTCCCTTATTTTGTGATCGAGCCCTAACCCTACCATCCGTTGACAGCTAGGGAGGAAGTTTTAACACAAGAACTGAAGTCCTCACTCTGTTTTATTTTAGCAGGGGAAAGAGCAGCGCCACATGCCCAAAGAATCTGTGGTCTGACTTTTCTTGGGCAGCGGATTGGGGGCAGCCCTAAGGGCCTGTTTTCCCTCTGCCCTCCCATAAGCACGTTTCTCCAATTTGAGGGAAAGCAAGAAAGCGTTTTCCAGCCCTGGAAGGCTGAAAACAAGGTCCCTAGGAAGCAGGGGGTCAGAATTAGGATGATGGCATCATAACATAATTGATAACTGACTAATTATGAAATAAAATCAGACAGCTCCTTTTTCGTTCAACTCTCATAGAGAAAGGTGAGCGCAGCCATCCCACACTCCAAATCTGTCCCCCAGGTTCCCATTGAGCAAACAGGTTCGTTTCCCAACTTCTTTTTAACCCCTTCCTGGACACGCTGTATTTTGAATTCAGGAAGATATTTCACAAAATATCTTCTTAGAAGCAAGCTGAGCGACCATGGCCGTGATGATGCCAAGCTTGACCCACCGCCGCTTTCAGTTGCTGCAGACTTTCTTGGGGGTTGTGGGGAGGAATCTCTTGTGCGTGGTAAAGTACGCATAAGTTCTATCACTTTAACCATTTTTAAGTGGACTGTTCAGAGGCATCAGGCTCATTCAGCAAACATTTAAAACTGTTTAAAATCTGGAATGATGTCGGTGGCCCACAAACTAAACCAAGCAGGTGTGGTCAGCATCCTCCTTCCTGTCGCTCTGTCCTTTCTGTGCTGACGACAAAGACCCGCTCTCTTGGGAACCACCGCGACATGGAGCCACCTTTGTCATGACCTCTGAAGAGAGGCCCCCCCCGGTCTGGGACCCACACAACACATAAGGCCTCTTGCCCAAGAAATAGATAGATCTGTGCTTGGCCCATTTATCAAAGCTATTTTTCTGGGTGCACAGAGGTTTTTTTTAAGCTGGTTATTTAGACATTGGCTCTGCTGGCCAAATGGGATTGGCCCCTCTCCCTTACCACCCCTCTTATTAAAAAAAGAACAAAGAAAAAGAAAAGGTTAAATTAGAGAATTAGTAAAAACAAAGGCCCTCTGCAACCCCAGGCCCACTTATCGGAACAGAATTGTGGTTGCCAAGGAGTCAGGGACAGATACGGAGGGAGAGCACCGAGCAACACAGAG